TAGCCTGGCCTTTGCCATCCGTAAACTCCGGTCAAATTTTTTTTCCCGGGATGTACGTCTGGGTTTGCTCCCACTGGCTGCGATTCAATCGGTAGAATTTCATCCTACCATTCAGCGAGCGGGGGAGGCGGGTGTTGTAGGTGACGTCAAGCATTTGCGCCGGTTGTAGTCACTGTAGTTTGGCAATGGCGGCATATGCGAACATAAACGAAGCTCTTCAATCCGTTCTGGCTTTGCTCCCAAATATCCAGAAATTGAAGTCGGAGCAAGAGAAATGTTTAGCAAATTTCATTGCAGGTAAAGATGTCATGGCTTTACTCCCCACGGGATTCGGCAAAAGCCTTATTTTCCAGTTAGCTCCGTTAGTGGTGAAGGAGATGGCTAGGCTGAATGCTAGTGAAGCTAATCCTATCGTTGTAGTCGTTTCCCCTCTTTTGGCTTTAATGGAGGATCAAGTCAAGGAGGCTGAGAAGTTGGGAGTTAGTGCTGGACAGCTCGATGTGCACGACGATCGTGACATTTTGGAAGGACATTTCAGCCTGGTATTTGGGAGCCCTGAGTCTTGGCTACTCAACTCCAAATGGCGACGAATGCTAACCTCGTCTGTTTACCAAGACAACATCATTGGCATCGTCGTTGATGAAGTCCATGTTACATATAAATGGTAAGTGAACTTTAAAACAGCAGAAATTAGGCTTTTTTGCATACTCAATCGGGTAGACTATTGTTGCTTGATGAAAATTTTGCATTCCGTTTCTTTTGTCTCAGGGGTGAAGCGTCCAAAGGCGAGTCACCATTCCGAGAGAGTTTTTCTAAACTTGGTGAGCTGAGATCCATCATGAAGGAAGGTGGGTTGAATGTCTTCTGTGTTGTTCCTGCTTGACATGTTAACAAATCCGTGCCCTGGATTCAGTGCATTGTTGTTAAGAGTAACGTTAGTACACACTCGACTGTACAGTACTAAACGTACTGTGCATTCAGTAAAAGGAAGTTAAAAACATGCAGTAAGAGACATGAAAAAAGCTACAATCTTATAGTTCCAGAAAAAGATCAAACTGGTAAGAATAACCACTATGTAGCCAACTCTCAGCCCCCGGCAACCCCACTGTGCAAGTGTAGTTTTCAGTTTATACATTTTTTTTATAGGTAGATTCTAAGGGACATTTATTTTACAATTATGATTTCTTTTTGTAAGAGTTGTTGTAACGAGTACATTTCTCCATTGTGAGAACAATAAAGTGTTATCTTAAGTCAGACACCACAGTACATGCATTGCAGCTAGTGTTATAGAGCAAGACACAGGCAGAAGAACCACACACAAATACACACTGTCATCAATACATGTCACATTAGTAATACTGTTAATGTAAATGTGGGTGATATATTTTAATTTTGTAAATTTGTCTGACAGGTACACCTTTCTTGGCGTTGACTGCCTCTGCTGACATCAAATCCAGAAACCGAGTCACTAGACTGCTTCATATGGACAGTGCCGTTCACATCATCGCTAGCCCTAACAAGACCAACATCCGTCTTGGATTGCGCAAGGTGCCCAGCAATGAACTGAACTGCTTAGACTGGATTGTGCAACATGTAAAGGACAAGGGCTCAACCATGCAGCCTGTACTTATTTACTGTCAAAAAATGACAACAGTGGGGAGGGTCTTTTCTTACTTCAAGGCGGAACTGCAACAGTACGCCTGGGTAGACTGTGATCAAGAGCACAAACGTGAGAACCTCCTGATAGGTATGTTTCACAGCAAGTCCCTCCCCCAAAACAAGGACAGAGTGTTGGCTTCACTGAGGGGGCAAGGGAATTGCCGTGTAGTAGTTGCAACAACAGCTTTGGGAATGGGCCTGAATTTCCCTAATGTTTCACATGTGGTGATGTATGGTGTTCCAGGGGACCTAGAGTCCATAATACAACAGGTGGGGAGGGCTGGAAGAAATGGTCAGCCAGCTCATGGAATCATATACAACACTGGAAAGAATTATAAGACTGAAGAAGAGGTAAAAGAAGTGCTTGCTCTTCGCAATACATGTTTCAGGAAAATTATTTTCTCACATTTTGAGGCTGAACCCAGCCTTGTAGAACCAGGCCATCTATGTTGCACTTACTGTCATACTGTTTGTTCTTGTTCATCTGGCACATGCAAAGAACCCACCCCAGATTATGAACAGATTCAGGGCAAGCCGGTTAACTTGAGATCTAGGCACGTGACTGCAGAGGACAAGTCTTTGATTGCATATTTACTGAATGGATACAGAGCCAGCCTAATCACTCCATCTACTCGGCTCTTCACCTCACCTGAATTGTGCACAGGATTCAGTCAACAACTGGTGGACTGTGTATTGAACCATTCTCAGTTTATATTTGACCTGTCATACATCATTGCCAACATTCCTGTCTTCAGATTGGAGCATGCCAAGGAGATTTTAAATATCATAAGTGATGTGTTTGGAGATGTGGATGCAGATGTGGATGCAGAACAGCCGTCCGATTCAGGGGGGGGTTACACTGCACCAGATCTTTATTACAGTGGCTATTTTGACACTGCTGATGATGATGATGATGAACTCAGGAGCCAGGTTAGTAGCTCAGAGTCAGAGCAGTAATTTCAATGAGTGTTGAGAATTTAATTTACTTCTGTGTGTTCACATCATTGGGGACTCATTGTGCATATTTTTGGAAAAAAGTTTCTCATTTGTACATTTCTACAACCCAAAACTGTCCTTAATAAACCTGATTATTTTCTTCAACACATGTTTGTAGGATCTTAATTCAAGGATATAACAAGATACATGTCTATGGCTTCTGTAGAAAGGTTAACTAGGAAAGACATACAAAATATACTGTAGTGTACTGTAGATTTTTTATTTAACTATGTACAACATATATACACATGTGACATAGTTCAAGCAAGCCTGAGATTTACATTGGTTTACAGTGTAAACCTTGAATTTCAATTATTACAGTGCTACAGACCTCCATTCCTTTAGCTTTGCACGCATCCATTGATATAGGACCTCCCAATCTAGCTTGGACAGAATGTTGCTATTGAAGTCAGGGAATGCGGAAAAGTGTCTTCCTGGTTGTTCCTTGAAAACTTCTGTCTTCCGGAACACCTCAAGCAAGGTTAAAACATCCCTGTGAACATCAGCTGCAAGGTGGGTACCACTGGGCCGGGATAGCTGCAGCTCTCTGTCTGCTTTGTCCATCATTGTTTTTAACACGCCAACAGATTTGCTGACCCTGGTAGCCGTGTCCTCTGTCAGGTTGCTGCCTTTATTCCTCAAAAACGACTTAAGGAAGTTGTTCAGGTGTTCCAGATGGAGATCCAGGGGTATGTTCTTGCCTTTGCCACCCTTGCTATTCCAGAATCTATTCCACATAATGTCATGTGCAATCCGAGGGGACAAAGTGGAATTAAGTTGGACAGTTAAAAGGAAAGTACTATAGGCATATTTAGTATGTCCGTAAGCTTTATAAATGGGTAGAGCCACCTTGTAAAGCCGAATCAAGCGCTCCCCATCTCCCTCTTTCACAGCATCCAACATATCCAAAATCAGAAAACCAAAGTAAAGCCTTGCCTCTGTATGCTGTTTTTTGTAGTCCATCAGACTTGCGGAAGCAGGCTTGGCAGGTGGAACAGGTGCCACAACAAGATGGTGGACTTTCTGTTCATGGGTCTCTCTGCTCTTTTTGTTTACGTACACTCTTGGGCAACCAGGCTGACGACAAGGAAGCTTCTCCTTGCCAGTGCGTTGGGCAGCATCAGTCACTGCAGCTGACAGGTCAAAAGTGTTTGAGAAGGTCAGGAATTTGTCCGCAACCTCAGCCACAGAGTCATGTAGCCAGGTCCTTCTCTGCTCTTCAGTGCCCTGTCGAACATGGTCTGGCACAACTCTGTCAGTAGTGTCTATGAACAAATGATACAATACGCACGGAGTGCCAAATTATTAAGCAAGTTAATTAATTGTGCATGAAGTGTTAATTATTGGAAAGATATTTTTAGTACTTTATAACAGTATAAACAAAAACAATAATCAGATACTTCAAAACATTGTAACATACAAACCTGTGACATCACCCAACTGGAAATGTTCCATAGCTGCTGCCAGAAAAAGTGCAGTTGTGTCGATCTGCACAAACTGTTTGTATGCATTGTAAGCCTTATGTGGACCTTTTTTGGCATTGCTGCACCTGTAAGTAAAGACAGTAAAGGCAGTTATAACAATGAAAAACCTGAAACATTTCATTTGGAAAGTCTAAAGTAATATCTATTCACTATGTAACAAGCATTACACATAGGATGGAAATTGTGTTTAACCAGACACAAAATGTGCAGTTTAAACTAAAACACACAGACACACGCATGCACACACATCAAAAGAAAGTAAAACTAATTCATGTATGTGTCAAATCAAATGTGTATCAATTCGTGTATGTTACAACCATAGACTGTATATTAACAATGGACGTAGCTTTCCCCAATAGCAATCAGAGCGGGCTAACGAAGCTCAGCTCAGTTTTAACAAACACGTGAAGGAAATAATGAAGTCTGTGTCCAATAATGACTTAAAAAGGAGCCAAAAAGTTAACGTGTTAAGTTCAATTTAAGAAAAGTAATTCCGGCGCCAGTCCCCAGTTCATTATTATTTCAAGAAGTAGTAGGCTACAGTTAGTCCATCATTATTATACTGTCTGTTAAAAACTCATGAAGTCATTGAATCTCATTATTATGTTACATGAGCTTTATGCAAATTCTTGACACTCAAATGACCCCTCACCTGTTTGCAGCAATGCAATTTCCAGTAATTCATGAAGGCGTTACATAGTATTACCAGAACTTACTAGCCTGGTCTCACCATACCCTCGTACTCAGATAATTGATCTGAGTTTACGGATGGCTAAGGCCAGGCTAAGTAGTTTCTGGTACTAACCCCTTTCCCTTTACGGCCCCGATGGAAAGCAGCCGAATTCATGGTGGCTATGCTTTCTTGGACATGCACACAGTTCATACATCCACGCCAACGTCATGGTTGGCGAAGATCATCTTAAGGTTACACTCCTTGAGAAACATGCAGAGAGAGAGAGAACAGTTTAATAAACGGGAATGAACATGAATCTGAAAACATTAAAATTCTGATCTTTAGTGATTAAGTACCTCAAGAGATTCATGTTTGCGAGGAGTGTACTATGGTCTTTTGCAGATGCTTCTTTGAAGAAGATGTGATGATATATCTGTGACAAATATTAAAATCAAATAGTCTTTGAGAAAACAAAACAGACAGCATTAATAGCATAAAAGCTACAACTGAATGTCAATTTTTTCTTAATTACCGCAAGTGTAAGATTGCGCTTTTAGTTCATGAATAGCATACAAACCTCAAAGAGATTACGGATGGCATGCCAGTCTTCAAATTTAAAAACAAGCCCCTCCAGACGTTCCTCCTCACTCACTCCTTCTGCAAACATCAACTGTGCATTCCGGCAATTTCCCTCCGTAAGTCGGTCACCCCCGACCAAAATCTTGTGCAGTCCATTAGGGCATCTTGGCACATACCTAAAGAGAAAAACGGTTGAATTATCAATTTACCAAAATCACCTTTTCTTACATGCATTTACAGTACGCTCAGAAGACAAGCTTAACTTTTAAAAATCCTGCACCTTAAATCAATGAATAACTCCAAATATTTTTTGGGGAACTGAGGAAGCTAATATTGAATAACATTGATATTTACTCTCGCTGAAAATGCTGCAGCACATCCACCAAGTCAGCAGTTTGTGTCTCATCCTTGAGTAGAAGTCCAAGTGGGTACTGTAGTTGAAAAATGCAATGTTAAAAAAAGGGTCAGCGAGCGAAACAATATCCTGAAGTAATCGGACATGCATTTAATCCACAATTTGCATTATGATAATACACAATAATTAGTTTAATTTGATAGAGGAAGAAGTCTGAAACATACATCTGTTGAGGGCCGGGCCATCTCTTCAGAGAACTTGTGGGGGATGTGGTGAACAACTACACTCGATAAGGTCTTGAATGCCTCCAAATAATGTGTCAGGATACGGCTTCCCAACACAATATATTCTATTCGCAAACTGTCTTGCGTGTCAGGTCCAGGGAGCGACTGCCCGATATCATAACTGCTCAAAGTATTTGCTGGTTTATGTTCGTTCATTTGGAGTGAGTTGACTCTGTCGATGACACACATGTGATTGATCCAGTGTATGGACTTGTTTGTGTGACTGATGGACTGATGATGTGTCTGCATGTAAAAGTCCAGATTGTCAAATATTATAGAGTACGTTGGAGGTGTTGGAGAGGTTGGATAGGCTGTAGGAGACAATGGAGCAACACCCAAATCAGCCAGGTCTTCATTTGACAGTCCACTAAAAGTGAATATGTCCAGGGCATCCACGTCCTTGCTTGTGGCAGTGCTTGTTGTCGCGGTGGTCTCTGTGGCGGTGCATGTTGCAGTGTCTTTGGGAAAATAAAAAGACTCAAATTGAAATTGTGGGTTTAAAAACATAATGAACATATACATAAAGACAGTTAACTAACTCACTTGATAAGGACAGGTCCTCAAGGATGTTTGGAACAGTCCTATGAGTAAAAAAAAACTCCAAGTCCTGTTTCATCGACTTCATTGGGTACATGCAGTGCTGGGTGAGTTCTTTTTGCTTGCAAATTACATTGGAGTGATTTGTACAGATGCCCAGTTTGGCCAGTCGCTGGAAAGCTGCCTTTTTTGCCCCTCCATACAATAACACAGAGTTAACATAATATGCCAGAGCAGATAAACGGGGTTCTCTTCCCCGTAAGGCGATGGAGGCTGCAGCACAAATGTGAGGAATGGAATTGTTTGAAATTTTTGACAATACACTGAACAAGAATGGTGCAAGCCGCTTCAGGTCATCATGCAACTCTTGGAAGGAAAATGATTGGAGATCAAGAGCACTTGACCTCCACAGCATGAAATGGTTCTGCGGGTTACAGAGGCTCACACAGTCAGCCTCCACTACCTCCAATAACTGTTTTAAACCTAGCCTTGAATAAAGAATAACATACAGCATAATATATAACATAATATACAACATAACACAATACATTATTGAATAATATATAACATAATATATAGCATAATACAGCATATATATATAATATATACACTACATATTATATATTACCTAATTATATGCTAAATTAAAGTAAAGTGCTTTAAGCCTGGCCTTGAATGTGGAGACCGTATCTGCTTCCTTAACATAAATGGGAAGCTGATTCCACAGTAAGTAACACCATCTTGTAAATGGTCCATTACTTGACGATTGCGTGCAATGAGATTGGCAGCTGAGGCAAACTTCTGCTTTGCCAAATTCTCCACAATCCCCGCTATGTCAGGTTGACATAATATCGTCCTCTTTTGATTGTCATAGGTGATCACAATCTGAAAACAAAAGGTAGCAATGGATGATAAGAAATACATTATGTTTATCACAGACATGGTACAACTGCCAGGGATATAGTATGTCTATGGTGGGCTGAAAGCGGGGGAGGGTCTTCAACTTCAGCCACTTGATGTATATCATTGCTCAATCAACCAGGTGACTTGCTGCTACACCTGTTGTCTATCACTATATACTGTTACTAGACTTATATTGTTTATCAACATGTACTTATACTATTTATCACTGTAAATATACGGCTACTCTGCTGTACAATATTGTCTCCACCGTACCTATACTGCGACTATTATTGTATACATATCATTGCACATGAGATACACCTTTTTGATCAAGTTTATTCATTTATTTTTTATTACGTTAGCATTATAGATAGATAGATAACTTTATTTGCGGACTCGAGGTCCAAATCACAAGACAAGAAAACAAATAAAATAAAATAAACAACAGACAATAAAAACCTCTAATCTTTCAAGAGGATTATGTACGACTACTGTAAAAGTGTTGGGAGTGTAAATAAACCTAATCAGTGCAAGTAGCCAGGACTGCCTACTGCCTTAGCCTACTAGAGGCAGAAACTAGCAGTTCACACAACTTTGATTTTGCCATGAGGGGGAGGGGAAAAGTTGCACTGTAGAGGTTATCTTACATCAGCGATATAATTGCTTAACTTAAATTACGCTATTGTTTACCAATTTATGGAGGATGCTTGACTGTAATACACAAAACAGCCATCAGACTGGCAGACACTGACAAACAATTTATTGCGTTTCGTTACTTTCCCTACCTCGGTCACACTGCTCCTTGTTGGCAATGGCAAATCAGTTGATCTTCTGGATTTCTTCACCAGTCTTGGTGTTTTGGAAGGGGTGGGCTCCCGGTCTCTTTTGTCGATAGAGCTAGAAGCAGCAACTGCCGTCTCCGCCACTTTCCATTTCTGCAACACTTCATTATCGTGCAGTAGCCTCGAGATAGTATTGCAGCATTTCCGGCAGACTCGGTAAGAACGAAGCGGTGTCTTGTCAATCATCAAACCGAGCTTTAGCAACTGCGATGCTATATTGTCTTCCTTCTTTTCGAATACTAATTTGCTGTTTCCAATAACTCCACCAACTCTTAAATTTTGTCTCGCAAAGCCTGCAGCTATCGTTCACAGCCATCTTCGTCTCCAAACCAATACATCCATGCTCCAAACCCGCATTTCTCTCTCGGATACAACCGGATACAACTTCCTGTAAGCGTCACTTCTTCTTCTTCTTCTTGAAATTTCCGGCATGCTGTATGCAGGAATGCACAAGGCTGCCCCCAAGAGTTATGATAGCTTGCGTCACTCACTCGGGCGCATAACATACGTCACAACCAAACGCTAGTGATTGGATAAAATCAGATCCAATCGTTTCACACTTTAAACAAAGTTCACCCCTCCCACTTGTAAACGGAGCTCAATTGAGAAAGTCCAGAGACCCCTCTGTACGAAACAAGTACGAGGGTATGGTAAAACCAGGCTAGGACACCAAAAGTTTGTTATTTTTTATTATGAAGTTATGTATGAATTCTCGACCGGAAAAAGGTGCCTTGCCCTCTACAGGTGGGTGGAGTGGTCCTTCCTCAAGTGGAGGAGTTCAAGTATCTCGGGGTCTTGTTCACGAGTGAGGGAAGGATGGAGCGTGAGATTGACAGGCGGATCGGTGCAGCGTGCGCAGTGATGCGGTCGCTGTATCGGACCGTTGTGGTAAAGAGGGAGCAGCGTCTGTAGTCAGAGCTGTATCAGACCGTTGTGGTAAAGAGGGAGCAGCGTCTGCAGTAAGAGCTGTATCGGACCGTTGTGGTAAAGAGGGAGCTGAGCCGAAAGGCAAAGCTCTCGATTTACCGGTCAATCTTCGTTCCCTCCCTCACCTATGGTCATGAGCTTTGGGTAATGACCGAAAGAACGAGATCGCGGATACAAGCGGTCGAAATGAGCTTCCTCCGCAGAGTGGCTGCTCCCTTAGAGATAGGGTGAGGAGCTCAGTCACACGGGAGGAGCTCGGAGTAGAGCCGCTGCTTCTCCACGTCGAGAGGAACCAGTTGAGGTGGCTCGGGCATCTGTTCAGGATGCCTCCTGGACGCCTCCCTGGGGAGGTGTTCCGGGCACGTCCCACCGGGAGGAGGCCCCGGGGAAGACCCAGGACACGCTGGAGGGACTACAGTATGTCTCTCAGCTGGCCTGGGAACGCCTTGGGGCCCCCCCGGACGAGCTGGAGGAAGTGTGTGTGGATAGGGAAGTCTGGGCGTCTCTGCTTAGACTGCTGCCCCCGCGACCCGGCAACGGATGAAGCGGAAGAAGATGGATGGATGGATGGATGTATGAATTTATTTATTTATTGTTTTGGACAAATTCAGTTGTTACCGTTTAGATTGAACAAAAACTGCTTGGTTTACGCTGCTGCCCCCACGACCGGCTATGGATAAAGTGGAAGAGAATGAACAGATGCATAATATTCTTCCATCTTGGGCTAAAATGTTAGAATCCATTAAATGATGTGTTGATCTCTTTGGACATTTGGCTTTATACATATTTCATAATAATTAAGACAAACTCCAGACTAGTGTGAGTTCTAGAACGGTTGTGTTACCGTGGCAACAGGTTACCATAGAAACCACTGCAGACATCCTGGAGAAGGAGGCCCGAGAGGCTGTGGAGGCGAGCGGAGAGGAGGTGAAGGAGTTCTCCAAGTCCCTGAGCCAGAGGAGCAGGAACACAGCCCAGAGTGTGGTCAGCAGCCTCATGGGGGAACACACCAAGCAGAGCTGCCTGAACCAAACGCAGCAGAAGATCAAGTCTTTCTTTGTCCTTTGCTTCGCTGAGAGCTGCTGGAAGAAGGTGCTAAGAAGACTGTGCTGTCACGTCCCACAGTCCTCTTCATCCGTGGAGAACATCCTAGAGGAGGCGTCGCCAGTGCTAAAGGAGCTGGTGAAGGAGGAGGCGCTGCAGCAGGAGCAGTGCCTCTACAGGAGACTGTCCCAGGACATCCAAGACCGTCAGTTTGAGAAGCTGAGTGAGCACCTGGCTCAGATCCTGTCAGACAACATGGCTGCACAGGAGGAGCAGGAGGAGCTGAAGGAGGAGGTGCGCCCTCACGTGGACTCGTTCATGTCCCGCCTAAAGACCTGGCTCCACCTCCAGCAGAGCCAGACGCCCCGCCAGGACCCGGTGAGACGAGCCCTGGCCAAGATCCACACCCTGACAGTGTCCATGGGGCAGCAGCGAGCTCCCAGACTGCCCCCTACACCTCCACCGCCATCAGACGCTCGTGTTTCTGTGGCGGGCGCCGTGTGTGCAACCGAACCAGCAGCACAGACGCTCGTAGCTTCTGGTCCCAGTCCTGGCTCTGAAGAGTGGAACCGGTTTCACATGGCGGGCCTTGTGTACGAGGTGGTGTCTCTGGTGTTGCAGACGGACAGGTTTGCGGAGCTGAAGTCTCTGTCCGAGGATCTGCTTCAGGAGCTTCGTCCGGAGATGTCGCGGTGGAACATCAGAGTGAGGCCTGATGTCTGCAGCATCAGGGAGGCGGCCCGAGCAGTGTACAGCCACCTGTGCCAGGACCGGCAGAGGAACTGGGTCACTCTGGACGCCATGATCGGAGGGGACTACATCGGAGTCATCGTCCACCACATACGCAAACATCTCATCGCTCCCACGGCTCTCCTCCCCTCTCCCTCTCCGGTCGTCAGTGAGGAGTGAGGAGGCGCAGCAAAACTACAAAAGAAATAAAAACAAAGCATCACAAAACACTGTTTTTCTGCTTCATCACGTTTTTACAGAAGTTTGGCTTAAAACTCCAGTCCATTCAAAGGTTTTATACAGTGAAGAGGGAGCAGCGTCTGCACCTCGTTTCTATAGTCTCTGTCCTGGGTCTACAGCCTCAGTCCTGGGTCTACAGCCTCAGTCCTGGATCTACAGCCTCAGTCCTGGGTCTACAGCCTCAGTCCTGGGTCTACAGCCTCAGTCCTGGGTCTACAGCCTCAGTCCTGGGTCTACAGCCTCAGTCCTGGATCTACAGCCTCAGTCCTGGGTCTACAGCCTCAGTCCTGGGTCTACAGCCTCAGTCCTGGGTCTACAGCCTCAGTCCTGGGTCTACAGCCTCAATCCTGGGTCTACAGCCTCAGTCCTGGGTCTACAGCCTCAGTCCTGGGTCTACAGCCTCAGTCCTGGGTCTACAGCTTCAGTCCTGGGTCTACAGCCTCAGTCCTGGGTCTACAGCCTCAGTCCTGGATCTACAGCCTCAGTCCTGGGTCTACAGCCTCAGTCCTGGGTAACGCCGTTACTAACGCCGTTACTTTTTTCAGTAACGAGTAATCTAACTAATTACTTTGACTGTAACTATAACGCCGTTATCATTAACATCCCGTTACTGCGCGTTACTCAAGACGCACAATGAACTTCTCTTTTTCCTTCATGATAGGACTCTGTTGTCATGAGAGAAGGATGAGAAAACCTCTCAGATATTATTGGCTGATGTAAAACATATTTCCTTTACAGTCTACATGTCTACAGTTGAGAGGACGGTCATAAAGTGTGTTTTTGAAACAAATGGGTCTTAATCACACTCAACCACGGCTTGTATCACCGTGAGGCCTCAGAGGAGCTCCTTTCTCTTCCTGGTTTATCTGCTAAGGACAGCAGCAGGTTTGGCTAACACACATATAACACATTTTAAGATCATTTAAAATGCACTTGGGGTAATTTTTCAATGACTATAGGAATGATAAGAAAGAGGTGAAGTGTAAGACGGTTGATTTTAGAAATTGGATGCAGCCGGCTGCAGCAAAACAGAGGAGTTTATGGAGGACATATATATATATATATATATATATATATATATATATATATATATATATATATATATATATATATATGTGTTCGTCTGATTGGGCTGAAGTCAGTGCTTGGTGTAACCCAGCTGTCAAATCTGGTTTATTATTATTAGTAGTAGTAGTGTGGATAAAAAAAAGTATTGCATTGCACTGAGCCTCGCACTTGCGCGATGACGTCACACGTTCGAGCTGCCTCGTGCGCTGCATTCAACTACAGGTGCGGTAATCAGTGAGTAGCAGAGTGAGAGGTGGGGACGCCAGAGGAAAGCTGAGCTGCAGGTCTGTTTTCATAACTATTTGCTTTTAATCACAGAAATATTCCAGTTGCTTACATGTGTTACTTAACTCGTAGGAGCTGTCGTCTACTCGTCCGCTATCCTGTTCATTTAGGGTTGTGGGTGCGAGACAATTGAGGAGCCGGTAAGCTAAATGTTTTTAGCATAGCTTCATAGAGTTGCATTACATTCCGCTAGCTTAGCCGCTCCCATTCATTTACATGGGGAGCGGTTAGCCTAATGATTTTATTCATAAGATGCCTTGGTTTCCCAAGATGCTATTTTATATTGACATGACTATACTCATTGACTGTTTGAACTATCTTTTCTGTGTACAGTTATTCATAGTTAATGTACCACTATACTGTATTTATTGAACTTATGCTAACTCTGCATAAACAGCCATCATTACTGCTTGTTTATTGAAGATGCAGAGCCATTCATGTTTGGTTATAGAAATTGATATTTATGTAATATATTTTACATACATTGGATTATTGTGTTATGGGTAACATTCACAATTAAGAATTTGATTGTATTATTGCACTTTCATTCTGAGTGTAATATATAGAGTTATGAATTATATTTAGCGCGCTGTACCATCCTAATTCATTAGCTCTATTAACAATTTTGATGCACATGTGTAATGATCGATGCCTTGTGAGTGAGCAAGGCATTTATTGGAGCTTTCGGTTCTTTGTATAGGCCAGGTCTCCAGAACGATGGCGAGCTAACCCAGATACGTGCCTGAACCCAAAGACTTTACTCCTACTCCGACGTGGGGAGCCCAGCATCACAACCGTCGCTCAACCCAGGGCGGGTAGGGGGCTCCTGTGGCCCAGAGAAACTTTCACCCCACATTCCCTCAACGAACGGGTCAGACAATATACTCTTCCTCCCTTCACCATTTTTTTCCCAACGTGGGTTTTTTTTGGACTATGGGTGGGGTAATGTGACTAATGTGAATGTTTTGTGATTTCCTTGTTTTTGCATTTGTAAATACTGTAAATAGTGTACATAACGTTGAGTGGCCATTCAAAATTGCAATATTGGTTCAATACATGGTGAAAGCAAACGTGTTGCCTCTGACTACTCTCTCCCACAACGAATCCTTGATCTTCTGATTCTAGCCTAATTATATTGGATCTGCTCCTTACATTAGATCTGTAGGGATCTCATGCTTATGTGTGCTACATTGGTGTTTCCACATTCACAGTGGAGCGTGTTGGTGTTTAGTGCTTACACAGAGACACAGGGGGGTAGCACCAAATTCTGGGCCCCGGGTACAAACAGTCTCAATGGGCCCCCACTACACGTTTCTTATATATATATATATATATATATATATGTGTATATATGTATGTATATATATATATATATACATATATATATGTATGTATATATATATATATATATAATGTATGTATGTATGTATATATATATATGTATATGTATAATTTAATTAGTTAATAAAATTCTGATTCATGTCCTTTGGTTTTATTATCATCAATATTGTTTACAATATTTTTTATTACCCTCATGTAAAAAATTAATTGAGTAGCCTGTATATACAATAAACATTGCTTTATTTTCAAACAGCGGCTTCACCAGGTTGATAACAGTAGTACCATGTCCATTTTATTTATTAACAGGGACAAGCCCAAAAAAAGGTAAACATTTAACAAAAACTAGAACTACACTGTTTGAGAACCATCAATGTAGTACAAAGCTAAATGTATGGTCAATGTTTATCAAAAGCCCACTGACGGGTCTTTGCATTTGCAAAGTTTCTGATCAGGTCTTTAAAGTCCAGGTTTTTGGCCAACTGACTTTCTATGGAGAGTATTGCAAGGCTGTTCAGTCTCTCTTGGGACATTGTGGATCTTAAATAGTTCTTTACAAGTTTAAGCTTACTGAAAGAACGTTCCTCTCCTGCAACAGTCACTGGAAGTGTACAAAAGATTCTCAAGCCAATACAAATTTCCCCAAAAATACTTTCTAGCTGCATTTTGTGTATTGCATTGAGCAGCTCCAAAGGTGACTGAATGTTTGGAAATGTGGCTCCACAAATTGTTCTCAGATGAAGCATTTCTTTTTCAAATTCGGCAGTGAGGTCTTTGTTGTATTTCGTTGTTAGAGCTTGGCATGAAATCTTCATCTGCTCTTCTGTCATCTCCGTCATCTTGAGTAAAGGTGCAAATGTGTCACAAACACAAGCTGTGGTCTGAAACCTTGTTGTTAAGGCACTGATAATAGAATCTAATGCTACATAAAATACTTTGTTTCTGAATGCGTGTTCTGTGTTTTCTTCACACATTTCCCCTTGTGTCACAGTCTCGTCATACATTCGCTTTCTTCTCTTCTTTTGTTTGTCTTCTTCACACTGTAACTGAGGTGGAATTTCCATTGCCTTAGCTACAAGTATGGCCTCAGAAAGCAGGCTGTCCCATTCCTTACGAAGTGCTTGCATTTCCTCTTGATGCACTGATGTTGGCAGCCTCAACGTCCAAAGAAATATTTCCTGCTTGGAGAATAAGATTTTGATTCTCAATGCACTGCAGGACCTTTACCCACACAGTAAGAAGAACAACTGCATCAAACTGTGAGAAATATTTTTTAAGACCATTTGCCTCATATTTTGCCTCATTGGTCAGGTTGCAGGTTTCAATTATGCTGTCCAGTGCTTCAATGATTGAAGGCAAATGATTTGCCACAACACGAACAGCTGCAATGCGGGCACTTCAGCGAGTCTCTGAGAGACGATGAAGAGAGCGACCAGTTTTCTCTTTTAAGATTGCCCATCTCTCAGGGCTGCCACTGAAAAGATTGTAGAGACAATTAATGCATCCAAAAATCTCAGGGCAGGATTGTGCAGCATGGACTCCCACCAGATTCAGAGTATGAGATGCACAGGGGCTATATGTGGCGAGTGGATTTTCTTTCAAAATCTGAGCTTGAACTCCTTTCACTTTCCCCGACATATTTGCCCCATTGTCGTATCCTTGCCCTCTGCAATCTTCCATTGGTATGCCATTCTCTTTCAAGATGTCTTGAATCATCACTGAAATGTCCTTTCCTGTCTTTTTATAAAAATCTTTAAATGTGATGAATCTTTCAGTTATCTCCCAAACACCAACTTCTTTGTCTCGATGTACATACCTCACAAGCAGCACATTTTGTTCGGTGTGAGAAATGTCTGGGGTGGAGTCGCAGATTATTGAATAATATATGGCATCTTCTCTTTCACCGATAATTGTCTGAAGAACTTTTTTGCCACACAAATCAATGAATTTGTTCTGTGTTTCCGGACTAAGGTAATGGACTAACCTTTCTCCTTTCTCCTTTGTTTTATTTTTTTTAAATGATCCTGTAAAAGTGGGTCATAATGGGCTAACAACTCAAGAGTGCCTAGAAAATTCCCATTGTGGAAGTTATCTAATTCTTGGTTTTTGCCTCTAAAAGCCAGATTTCGTGATGCCAAATGAATGGTCACATCCAAAAATCTTTCCAATAACATCGTATTTTTCTCTATTTCCGTTAGTATTTGCCTTTCAATGTGACTGTCCACACCTGCTGCTGCCAAAATGGAGTA